CCGTCCGTTTGGCCACAGGAGACTGTCTGGAAGTTGGTCGCGTCCGTGGCTGACCAAGAACCGATGACATCGTTGGTGTCCACTCTACGTGCTAGGAGAAGTATCCCCTTATACTGTCCAGCACCAGGGCTTGTATTGATAGTGACTATAATCAATGTAATCAATATGAAAATCGTTTTTGATTTTTGAATTTTGATATATATATTTTTTTAAATAACTTTTTTGGTAAATAGTTCAAATGAAATTAATCGACGACTAATCATCGTTTTTTTAATTTTTAAATCCCTTGCTTTAGAGATGAGGAAGCTGCTTATTGTATGGCTAAAATGCTTTTTTTTTAAATTCTTGATTAGCTTATAATGACATTACCTTATTACCGATAATATGTACATGTACATTCTCACCATCTAACGTTTTATCTACGTATTGTTCGCTTTAAAGTCTATCTGTACTTGTTTGGCCAGGAGGGATTAGACCTCCCTGCATGGTCACTGACATGTGCTATCTCATCAAAACAGCTCTCAAGTAACATAAGAAAAAGGGGAGCATGGGGGACCAATGGTCATCGATTAAGCATTGTTTTCTATTTAGAGGGCGCAAGTAGCTATAGGTACTGCAGTGGGGCTTAAAGGTACTATGTCCCATTTGCAGCCAACATCAAATTCTGTAGAAATTTGCACTAATTATGAATATGTCACGTTTGTCCTATCTGTGAAATTTAAACGTTAGCAGTGTCCTGATATTCAAATTATGCAAGGAAACCCGTTTACTTTCTAGACTTCACTGGCAGACACTATTGAGTGACTGAGAACTTTTGTTGTTGTATTACCATACATAAAATGAGCTGTAAAGGTTACATGAGCATTTGTTTAAATCAATAACCCAATTCTTGTAATGACCAAAATTAAACTGATTGAATCTTTGCGCAGCACACAACGTACGACCATTCGGTACAAGGGTCTAAAAATCAGTCTATTACTTTAGTGATTGCAATCACTAAAATCGATTCGACAGATAATGGTTATAATTTTCTCACTTAAAGACATTTTCGAGCCCTTTCGTTTTGAGGGAAGTTCTTAATTAGTGTTATCTTTCAAATGCCGTTGGAATTTAACTTATTCATTTTTGACCTGAAAATGGGACATAGTATCTTTCATCCACATTTTCAACAACCAAAGCATGTACCACATATATCCGGAATCCTTATTCAAGCATTTTAGCATTTGTTATGCTTTTCGAATAAAGATCTTCATTTGCTGTTGAAGTTTTAAAGGTTAAAAATTGAACTTGTTATACTTTCACAAAATTATTCATTTACTTCGACTTGTTCTCTCTCTCTCTATCTCTCTCTCTCTAGTGCTATCTCTTTCTCTCTCTCTCACGCAAATTTCCGCCATATTCATTATGAATAATCAGAAGCCCCATTTATTAACTATATTGTTTTAAGTCATAATATTTTATTCATACTTTAGTATATTTTTTAATCGAAATTTAGTAAAAGATAATAATATATGTCACGACTAACCTGTCAGTGTCTGTGATGATGAATAGGTATTACTGTTGACACTGATGGCGTACGGGCTTGAAGTCACAGAAGGTGGTATACCATGGCCTGGTGTCATTGTGGTACACACATCGGGGTTCGATGCCACGGGTGCTCCAGAGGATCGAGCCTCAACCAAGACGACATTACAATTCCACAAAAACGCGAGAAAAACACCATTTACAATGGCGATACGTCTTTTACTCTGCGCCATGTCTAAGTTGTATACGAGAGTTACTAGCTGCCTATGAGCATTGTCGTTGGTTTGTGCTTCTGTATACCTTCATATTGAAGAAGCATCTTTCCCTTGTATAAACATGTATATTGTTGTTGTACCCTTGATAGATGCGTGTCAGTCTTTTAGAGTGCCCGGGAAACTCCTCCTCCTCCTTTTTACTAACCAAGTTATATTGAAAATATTAATATTGGCTATAGTGTATATAACTGGGGTTGTGTATTATGAAAACCACCAATCGCACCATTTTTTAACTTTCATTGTGATCTTACGTGTTAGGAGAGTTTTAGTTGACCATAGGATTACGTTTACCTTTACACCTTTTAGCAATGATATTATTTGGAGGGTTCCAATAAATCTCACTTTTATTTTACGTGTGTCCTCCTTTTCTTGTCAAGATGGATACAACTAGTTTTAGTCAAAAGCTCTTCTTCGTGACGTCCGTACTAGGTTGTAAATGATTGTCTATCAGATTAAATCTAACAATGTGTTTTGTTAATATTATGCTTATTGTGCAGTTGATACCTTACCAAATATTACGCACAGCTCATTTTGAATTTAGAATATAAATCTGTTAAGTCTTTTAACGACTGGCAATGTTCTCTTGACTCATACTCTTTCTGTTTTCAAGAGGGTATTAATATAATAGAAGCTATAAACACGTTTATATTTAATTTCACCGTAAGATTTTTTTTTTTTGAGGCCGCTATCCTAAATGCAGGCGTCGCTTATGATGATGGGCTCCTGTACTTTTCCACACATAGTTAGGATTATTTTATAAATTTATAATGCTATTTTATGTATATATGTAAATCACATTTTGACATGAAGTTATTACAGTTAACATATTACCTTACGTTTACATGTTCTTTGTTATTCAGTTATTGTATTTGAAAAAATGCAGACATGGTTTAAACAAAGAAAATTATGTGGCTTAAAGTTTATTCGATTTTTATTCATATTGTGAATTATACTGATGCCAGAACACACCCAATCGATTCTGGAACGTCATGGGGAGCGTACAGTGTATGTGTGTACGTTATTATCTTAAACCATGGACCTATTACATGCTTAAACCCCGATCATGAGGATCCCAGCGCAAAACTGAATCCAAGCCGACTTTATTCCGAGCGATTCTTGGCCACTGAATTGTAGTAATGCACCTTTTTAATCGGTGCATTTTTGGTCAGACATCGGTGTCTTCGATGTGACTGAGGTATTAGAATTTTAATCACAAACTTGCGAATTGGCATGTCTTTAATACCGATTTCTACATGATATGAACCTTGCGATGCGACCCTTCTATCTTGCTACGCCGCAATCAGACCTCCTAGCCTGCGGTATAGAAATAGACTCGTTCTTGTTCTTTGCCACGTCCTTATTATCACAGTCGGTTTGCTGAGGACGCAGGTGTCAAAGACAACATAGTACTGGAAGGTACTAGTGTCCGCGGTACCTTCTTTGTTAAATGGGTGTGACCATAAAAAGCACCATGAGGCATTGTCATTGACAAATGGCCATCACTTCATTTGTTTAAATCATTCACGTTTGTCTTTAAATATAGAACAGGTACATATTGTTCATTTTGCTTGTTGGGATGATACGTCATGTTTATTTCCTACACCACTGCTGGTTAAGTTCAGATGAAAAGGGAGACGAGATGATATAGGTACGTGACTTGCGTGTTTATGTCGTAGATGACGTTTATGTAGGTCGAAACAATTCCCGGACACCCCTTCATTCGAAATGACCTTGCCCCTGTCGCCTTCTCTCTAGATCTATCTCTTTCTCTCTCTGCCCCCCTCTCTCTCTCTCTCTCTCTCTCTCTCTCGCACACACACTCTCTCTCTCTCTCTCTTTTTTCGATCTGTCTCACTTTGGGTTGAATGGTGTCTCTATAAAGTGCTTTACAGGAATATTATTTCCTACATGAATCAGAACATGCCGCCTTTATAATGTCGAGGATTGAAAAGACACGGAACAACATCAATACGTAATAATGGTAGATCGGTAAGATTCGTTTAAAGACTGTTATTTATTCAAGAAAGAAATTCCACGTCTATCAACAAATAAGACACTATTTCTAAAGGAAAATAAGTACTTATTATTGTTTTGTTATTGTTATTACTACATGTATTACCATTATTTTCATTTATGTTATTGTTATCATTATCATTATCATCATCATTATTATTATCATCATCATTACAATCATGGTTATCCTCATTAAATATTGTAGTCGTTATTACCATTATTATTATAATCATACTCATCATCATGATCATGAACTGTAGTCGTTATTATCATTATTCTTTTAAAATCATCATCATCATCTTAATCATTATCATCTTGATAATTATTATTATTATCATTATTATCATTATAATCATCATTTTCATCATCATCATTATCATCATTATTATAATCATTATTGTCATGAACTATACTCATTATTATCATAATTTTCAAAATTATTATTATTGTCATTAGCGTTGTTGTTGTTCATGTATTTGTTAAAGTTATAAAGGTTATCAAGTATTTGTCGTTCGGCGTCACATGTGGCTTATAAGAGAATTTAATTATCATAACCCTTGGCCATGGATCTCTTCTCCCGACATAACTCATTGGTATGGGCAGTTGGTCCATTAGCTTACACCAGGGGTTTTCCATACTTGTCTCGTCATGAATAGTGCAGTGGGTCCTACGCACGGGACCTCACCATTTAACCTCATATCCGTAGGATGAAATATGGTGTATTTACAGCTAATGCATCTTTCTAATTCAATTTGGCAAATACATGTACAATATAGCATGTATTTTCATAATAGAAGTATAAATATAAGATTTGTAATGCGCCAAATTAACTTAAAATAAAATGCGCAAAGCGCACTATGAGTAAGAGTAACATTGAATATACGAAAATGAAAGGAAAAGATAAATTGTATGCCGAATCAAACCGTTAACTTTAAAGATTATCTAGAAGTAAATAGGTAATATATAACAGAAGTGTTTCAATAATTAGTTATGAATAATGATACCAAATGAGGAAATGTATAAGGTATTATTTGCTAACATTTGACGACTGCTCTAAAGATGAAAACCGATCGATGCAAATCTACTTTGTGTAACACTTTACGGGTTGTTTACTTAAATTACTGTTTCACCATTAGTTGGTTCATGAACAGTAAAAAGAAACACCCCCCCTCCCGCCCAAAATCATGGAATTTGAACTATTCAAAAGTTGTATAATATATAGTATTTACATGCCTCAAGCAGGGACATGTTATGTCTCTGCCTCAACCGAGGATCACTGTGTTTATGATAACCACAAGCCATAAAGCTGAGACTGCGAGTTGAAAGTTGTATGTAAGAATCGAACCTTGAGCTGTTGTAGCGGCTGGGGTAGTCACTGCATCTCCTTCTTCTACATCTGAAGATAAACAACGACAACATGTTTTTATTTAGTGGGTAACTATTTCTTTTAGCGTCTAACGTTTTGATACACAACCCATAACAGACGGAAACAAACGATTGGGAAAGTTGAAGACAATAGCAATCCTGAGCAAAGAAAATATATTTTATTACACCTAATCATTTCTAAATGTATTATATTACATCAATTTCCAGCAAATGCTTGATAGTTCCTTTTTGAAGATTGAAAGAGACAATGGATGGCGATTGCAACCCATTGATACAAAACAATGCGATGTTCCATTGTTGCAGATTTCTCTGTCCTTCTAAAACATATTTAAATACATAATTGACGATCATATTTATTACACGACAGACCCGTCGCAATATTTCTTTTAAATGTTGGTATACTTGATTACACACTAGATGGCGTACTTCATCATCATAATCATAATTTTCCCTCTTACTTGGGGGTACTGACTTTTGCGCCACGATGACGATCCCTCCCTCCACTTCTTCTTGTCTTAAGCATTTGGCTCAGCCAAACCATAGCGTACTGAGAAATATAGTTGTGACATTTACACACATACGCGATCAAAGGTCAATTCATGGAGCTTCAAACCGATTCCTCCCACATACGATCTCTATGGGAAGGAACTATTTGGAGCATTATATGAATTGGCCTATGATCACATATGTGTACGCGTGTCACAGCTATCTCTCTCAATACGCTATATCAGCTAAACCCATCTTCTTTTACAGTAAAATGAAAAGGATACAAGAAAGCTGCAGTCAAGCCTTCCCAACAAGAATGAACAGAATGTGAACACATGATTGACTTTTGTAACACCGTGACCCTGTGATCGCTCTGTCTTCACACTGGACACAGGGTGGCCACACTATAATGACACACTCTGACACACTGTGTGTGCATGTGTCCAGCCTAGTATGGTGACATGTTTGGCTGATATTGGAACACATTCGGTTGTCAAAAAGAGACGGAATAACTGGGTTATGAAATAGAAAGTGTGAACTCACCACAGAGAGCCCCAGTGAATCCTTCTGCGCACGTACAGGTGTACATTATTTCCCCAGTTCCCGGCACACACGTCGCGTTGTTGCTACATTCATTGCTTAGACAAGGGTCTACTTCTATAGACAATGGGATATGAAAGATAATATTTTATTACTAGCAAGTGCATAGGGAAAGCATTTCGAGGCGTTTTTGTAGTTTAATTTTCTTCTTCTTGGATACTTAGATGCAAAACATTCAAACCCTAGAAGAGATTAACTCTTTTATTCTCGACTTACATGTGGACTTGAAATGCATTTCCAACAACATGGACACAGTTAAAAAAAAACCCTCCAAGATTTATTTTTGCATGCCTTGCCTTTATGAATGCTATCAAAATATGTGTTGTACAAATCGTTTTACATGAAAAGCAGGGAAGCTGGATCATTCATGTTTATATGTTAATTAACGTTTGCACAATAGATAACATTTGAAAATTATAAAAAAAAAACTTGTAAATAAAAGAAACGGATTATTGATACTTAAAAACTAGATTTAAAAGATGCATTCTAAGGATATTCTTCATCAGAACAAAATGTTATCGTTTGCAAATGCAAAGAATTATCTAGATTGGAAAATACAATGGAATTTTTTTCTTTTGAACATACTGTGCACTTTGTAAGGCTACCCCGTCACACAGTATAAAGTTACGATTTTACACATAACAATTTAATATCTATTTATGAGGAGCTAATAATTTTAAAGCTTACGAGTATAGGTTTCCAATATTACATTAATATAATGAATTTAATACCCTTCAACATCAAAATAAGCAAATTTCAAAGTGATAAGAATATCAATTTTCGAGTTCTCTAATAATCAGAGTGGGTTTTTTTTTTACACCTATAGTGCGCATGCAATGGCGTTTTACGTGAAATGTGAACTTACCTAAATTACACATTGGACCAGTGAATCCCTCCGGACAAGTACATGTGTAGTTTCCGCCATCAGCGTCTGGGACACATGTCGTTCCGTTCATACACACGTTGTCAATGCAGGGATCGTCTGCAAATCCACATAAATGTAGTTAAGAAGAAAACAAATTGCATTTTCCTCGATAAATTTGGGGGACTAACATAGTTCTACTATCTTAGAATTGATTTGATTCGATTTCTTTATTTCATTATTCTTCACTCATGAGTTGGATTGTCGTTGTCAGCTAATATAACTGTTTACCAAATGGGTCCAAGCCAACCAAAGAAGGGGGAAAGTAGACATAAGCGCACGTAATATACTTATACTTAAATATTAAAAAAGAGGATCTTCTTTAGCATGATAATAGTGAACCACTCGCACTCTACAAACTAGCCATTAAACAATTGGGTGGAAGAAAAATTGTAGGTGGCTTGCATAGCGATTGATTCCACGAACTTCGCATCTTCAATTGAAGGTTTTTACCATACGACTTTCTACCCAAAAAGTTTAATTAATAAAAATTGATTGTCCTTTGTAATAATGTTTGTTAGTTGTTGTTTTCTACGCCTAGTGCGTTTGCGTTATATATGCAATATGATAAACTTACCTAAATTACACATTGGACCGGCAAATCCATCAGAACAGGTACATGTGTAGTTTCCACCATCAGCGTCTGGGACACATGTCGCTCCATTCATACATGAGTTGCCACTGCAAGGATCGTCTGCAAATCCACATAAATGTAGTTAAGAAGAAAAAATTGCATTTTCCTCGATAAATTTGGGGGACTAACATAGTTCTACTATCTTAGAATTGATTTGATTTGATTTCTTTATTTCATTATTCTTCACTCATGAGTTGGATTGTCGTTGTCAGCTAATATAGCTGTTTACCAAATGGTTACCAACAGCTCAAGTTGCTAAGAAAGGCTCCAAGAAGGCAGTCAAGGCCCCCGGCCCAGCGGTGGCAAGAAGAGGAACAGGAAAAGGAAGGAGAGTTATGGAATCTACATCTACAAAGTTCTTCATGAACAGCTTCGTCAACGACATCTTCGAGCAAATTGCCGGCGAATCTTCCCGCCTCGCTCAGTACAACAAAAAGCCAACCATCAGCAGATGGTTGACATGATGAATTGAGCCATGATGAATTGAGGTTTTCTGGTCTGTAAAGATGCAGCGAAAGATGCAGTCACCTACTGCGAGCAGGCAAAGCGAAAGACTGTCACAGCCATGGACGTGGTGTATGCACTGAAGAGGCGGGGTCGTACATTGTACGGCTTCGGCTTGAGCTAATATAGCTGTTTACCAAAGAAGGGGGAAAGGAGACATAAGCGCACGTAATATACTTATACTTAAATATTAAAAAAGAGGATCTTCTTTAGTATGATAATAGTGAACCACTCGCACTCTACAAATTAGCCATTAAACAAATGGGTGGAAGAAAGAAAATTGTAGGTGGCTTGCATAGGGATTGATTCCACGAACTTCGCATCTTCAATCGAGTGTTTAAACCATTCGAATTTCTACCCAAAAAGTTTAATAAATAAAACAAACAAATATAATTATTGTTAAAAATACAGTCATACATCTTCAAAGGGATTCGCTTCAGAATGGATATAGTGAACCATTCGCACCCTACCCAGTATCCACTTAATAGATGAGGCTGGAGGAGGAATGTAGATGCCTTGCTTATAGGGATCGAGCCCACGATCATTGATACTTCAGTCGAGTGTTTAAACTACTACGACTCTCTACAGATTGTACACATTGCTGGTTATATATGTATATATATATATATATATATATATATATATATATATATATATATTATACATAAAGATGTCTATATAATAGAATGAAAAATAGTCCTGCGGTGGTTGACGAGTGATGAAGAAATTATGAAACAACAATGAAACAACAATGAAACAGAAAATACTTTCTTATTCAGTTGTAGATATAAATATAGTCTTGATAGTTGAATAAAAAAGAAAAGGATGTAAAGAGGACAATAAAGTGCCCTCAAACCCAAAAGCTAAAGTGAAACGATTAACGCCATATACTTATGAAACAGAAACATAGATGAAAAATCTTCAAACCTTTTATTTTGTAGGGGTTGTTTTGAGAAAAAGAAATTATATGAGCGAAATCAAGGAAAAAATATTGAGCATGATGAAATTTAAAAATTTACATTTCGTAGTAAAAAAAACATAATTATTAATCCATTGGCTACCGGAATCTTGTGGATTCTGTATTAACTCTATGGGAATAAGAAAATGTAATAGTCAACTGGTTAAACAAACTGATTGTCCTTTCTTTCTTTCTGCTACCAGGCTACGACATGTATTTGTTCCTCAGATACTTATTTTTTTGATATTTCTTCAATGATCATCCCCAATCTTCATGTTATTGCTTGTTTGCTACAGGCTACATGTATGTTTTTGTTAACATTTAACGACTTCTTTTTAACTTAATGCTGAACAACTCTCGAATGGAATTCTTTGAAACGTACTTCCCATACCTTGGCACGTAGCTCCCGTATAACCAGGTTCGCAGTTACACTGAAGTGCGTCACCAATCTTACTCACACATATTCCATGATTGCTACACATTACCGCCGATCCAGTAAATAAAGCCTTGCATGCATCTGCAATTTTTCGATAAATAATCGTGTTAACGAGAAAAAACATTATAAATAAGAATTGCTTAACAATTAATTGGAAGTCACGTTGTGATATCAATAATGATATTGATGATACTGATTTAAAATTAATGCTAGAATTAAAAGTCCCAGTTATCATGGTAATCACAGTTTAGGTCATATGTAAATATGAGTTAATCTATGTGACATGGTTTCATTAAATAGACACGAATGATGATATTTAAGACTTCAGCATAAAATAACTGTTATGTAAAATTATTGGACAGAAAAATACACCACACACTCACTCGCTCCTACGCCTATACACACACGCGCATATGCCCACACGTCCCAGACTCCCAAACCCACTTACGCATCCACGCATATGTATTCTTTCTCTCACACAAAGGCATACACGCACACGCACATCCTACCCTTGTCCCCACAATTCAAAACCCACATCCTCACCTTCACCCTATTTTATTTGTCTGGATCAATTTATAACCAACAGGTGTCAAACTCGAAAGATTTTCTCATCATCCATGAATCATATAATTTGCGCTGTATCAAACAAGATTGATATCATATCTCTTTAACCCCTCAACTTTTTCCTCCTTTACTTATTCAATTACTTTCCTATCTCCCCCACCCCCCCCCCCTGCCCCTCTCTCGCTCACACAAAATGATTTGCCAATGTTGATCTATAGGATGGAACACCCGCTTTACTTGTAACCATTGCAGATATTGTAAGCTGTATGAATAACAGTGATATTACGTTTCTATAATTGACAAAATACGTATGTGAAGGTAAATATATATACCTTAACCAGTATACTCACCGGGAATTATCAGTGATGTCACATTTACCCAGAACGTTTGGTAATCTTGCACAAAAGTAGCGCTGGATAAATGTACATAAAGAAATAATGAATACATTTTGCATAACAAATTATTTGAGAGAAGTGTTCCAAATAAAAATATGAATTGATTCAGTTTAACTACCTCGTTAAACAGTTAGATGGCAGGGAATGAATTCCTTAAAATGCAAGAGGGCTGTAAAAACCGCAGTGCTATAGGCCGGATGATAGCAATAGAACGCTAAAGACATGTGCGCCATAGAAGAATCCATTTTTGGGCATTATCATTATCAATATTATAAGTAGAAGTAGTAGTCGTAGTAGCGGTGGTAATAGAAATATCATGATTTTATGTATCATTATTATTATAAGTGGTAGTAGTAGTAGTAGTAGTAGTAGTAGTAGTAGTACACTGTTGGTCATAATGGTGGAATAATTATTTTTACCCCACTGACAGTAATGGGGATTAATGCCCCATAAAAGGGCACTAATATAGCACATCGACACGGTTTTGATCCTGGGGGCTCACAGTAACGAGACCATTTCTTAGCCAATGAATCATGACTGTACGCAGCGGGCGCTAGGGTACGTCGACGCCCCCACAAAAACAAAAAAACTAAGAAAATGCAATAAATTTTCAATAATTCATTGCATTTTCCCCCAGTCCCCAAAAGGAAAAAATCCTCTGTAGGGTCATGCATTATGGTTCAAAGCGTGCACACATAGAATTTTTTTTATGTTGGGGGTCGGGGCAAAATGAAATGAATTATTGAAAATTTATTGAATTTTCTTTGTTTTTTTGTTTTTGTTGGGGCGTCGACGTACCCTAGCGCCCGCTGCGTACAGTCATGATTCATTGGCTAAGCAATGGCCTCGTTACTGTGAGCCCCCATGATCAAAACCGTGTCGATGTGCTATATTAGTGCCCTTTTATGAGGTATTAATCCCCATTACTGTCAGTTATGACTTAAGGACGTAGGTCCCCTAGTTGATTAGCATTGTAGCACACACATGCTTTAGCAATCACGCAGAACAAACACTCCCCAATTGTCATTCAATAAAATCTGAAAATGTATACTATTATCTAGATCGATTAGGAACAAATCATTGTCAAAATCATTCAATAAATTGGGGTCAAAATAATTATTCCACCATTATGACCAACAGTGTAGTATAAGATGCCATAAGAGTTTTCATGATATTTACGCCACATATATATCTGGCCCTCCCATATCGGGTGGAGTCCATGTGAAGGTATTCGTTAACGGTTTGACGACGGAATTCTGATGAGTCACAGCGCTGTCGTTCTGTTCATTACACGATACAGTCTTGAAGTTGCCCGAGTCCATGACGGACCACGAACCAATGATCTCGTGAGTGACCGCCTCATGCATTTGAAGGAAGATCCCTTTTAATCCTGGACTATCAGAACCCGTGTTGATCGTGACTGAATGATACAAGAACATAACAATTACATTTCTACCAAAATTGTTCGGCACATGTAATTTATTTGTTATCTTGAACATTCAGTGTAAGTTTTGTTGGATTCTGTGAGAGTTTATTTTCTATGTTTACCAGAATTCAAGTTTATCTTTAATAATAACAAACGATATTAGGAAAATATGAAACATGATCACAAAGATGATAACAAACTTTATTGGAGTATAAAACATGATTGCAAAGAATTCTAAAATGCAACCTAAGGCAATTCCAATAGCGTTATGCGTCACCTATCTATTAACAATATGCAACCATTATATTGACATATAACTTGAATTCGAACAAAATTTCTACTTAGTCAATACAATGGGTACTATAGTTGACTTTAATGACGGATTTTTGAAAGTCAAGCTATGCGATCGTGTTATAAGTAACTCATTACATGCTTTCCCAATTAATTATCCATCTAACGAAGTTCAAAAACAAGTAGAGCTGTTAAATTAATTAAACAATACACTTCATTACTCAATTGTGTTAAAATAAGACCGGAGAGTGCCTTAATAAAAGTTTTAAATGGTTGATATACGATATGGTTAAGTAAAGAGTAATTGTGAATATTACAATGGCAGGACTGTTCTTATATCAATGCAATAATTTATCTTTCAAAATAAAATGGTGGAGTAATTTTTCTTTTTTTAAATCCAATAGGTTAATAGATAGGATTCTCTTCAGTTAATCAATACAACCAACATTTTCATAAGCCACATTTTCTACGGCGTATTTCCTGAACATAATTTTATTATGCTTACGACAACGACTATGTAAAAAGCATTTTCTATTCCTAAATACTGTAATATGAATTAAGCTATTCAATGAATTCAAAATCATTTACACTTATTGATCAAATTGCCCTTCACCACGGATGGAGAAATGTTGGACTTCCATCTCTTCTTTTTGGGGGAGGGGGGGGGGGGAGGGAGAGAGTCGTTTTGACTCATCTTGGTAAACTATCTCACCGGTGAAATCCACTCCAGGTTTGTAAGTTTCATTCGCCACGATTATGGAATATGGACTCTCGGAAACTGATGCTGGTATACCATGACCTGGTGTCAAAGTGTTACATATCTCAGGATAAGATTCAACGGGCGCGCCGGTCGGCCTGGCGCGGACGAGGTTGTTCTCCAGAAGGCATAAATGCAGGAGTACAGCAAGGAGCCCCTTGAGTACTGTTCTTTACATGGGCATCATTTTGGATGTTTTACTGGTCATGTAAATAAAAATGAAAATTTCACACATTCCACATTTATAGTCAGTTGCCATAGCAAAGCATATTATCACTAGAGTAATGTTGTAATGGAAATGGGATAGTTTAATATTTATTTGTATAGCAACTCCACGAATAAATGGTGACAAACTCACAGGAAGGGATTATATCAGCAGATCTCGGGACGCAGATTTATAATTTGTAAGAAGGAGTGAGAATGATCATATTCCATACATCTGTTCGTCGGGTTGGTGTAAATATAAGAAAGATATGTTAATCATGATCATCTTTTGTTTTTATTTTTATTTTAGAACCCCCCCCCCTAAATAAAAAGATCATTTCAAACGTACATCGGTAGATTATCCGCTAGTTTCAACCTCGTGTTTCTAACGACCAAGATTTCAGCAAGTTATATAGCAAACTGGAAAAGTGATAATTAGCGTTTTAAAGTGCATGTTTTACGGTAATTTACGATACAACTACGGTCTTCAATTGATATAATTGAATGACTTACCTATAAACGTTCACAATACTAGCTGTGAGGAAAGTTATGTTGCGATACAAGGCAAGGAAGCAGGATGGCAAACTTCGTTCACTGAAATTAAGCTCAAACTGAGAACACACTCTGTGTTTATGAAATTGTCTGTCATATTAATTGATTGTATCGCCCTTGGACAATGTATATGGTCTGTCTGCATCATCGTTTGTTGTAATGGATCGATATGCTTTAGATTTTGCAAGCGCTGTATAATAATAAACGTAACAATAGTAAAAAAAAACACCTGATTAGCGTGGCATTGTTTTCAGGCTAAACATATGCAGGCTACCGACTACAACGAAATTGTCCACTAATATTATGTACGTTATTCTTCCCTCCCCAATTAACAGCACCAAGAGAGGGAGACAGACCCACACAGAGAAAGAGAAAGAGAGATGGAGAGAGAGAGAGAGAGAGAGAGAGAGAGGGAGAGAGTAGTTTATCATTCATGATCGAACTACATGTATATGTAATTCTACTAGTAGATACATGTCTAATTACAATGCCCAGATGGTGTTCTTCCCATCAATCTAACGCGATTTCAGTAGCCATGTGCATCACCTACCTATATATTGAAATGTGCGAAAATGACAATATACTTTTTTTTTTATATAACATGGTTTCTATGGGAGATACGATAGGGTATTAAAATTACCCATGAGTTGATCTTTCTAAAGAAAAGTTGCGATCGTGTTCTGCAAAAATGTACACACGTCATACAGAAGCCACATATTGATCAAATTGAGAAGGAATACGAAATTATTATATGTTTATTTATTTTAATATAATTCTAGCTTCAAACATATATTTATAACAAAATACAAATGTCGGTGTATTTACAAATATAATCATCAATTACATTATTCCTTTTTCAAAAGGGGACGTGATAACTGATAGAACCGAAAAGAAGCAAATACATGTATGTAGGGATTTTAAGAGTTGAGCACTATTGATGCAGGTAAATGTAGAGGAACCTCGCTATAGTAAACATCTCAAAAAACACAGAAGGTACTGTGATAGAATACAGAGAAGTGGGTTCCGCAAAATAGCCCTTTTATCATGAGCATTTATTGGAACGAGGTTCAACGGTACCAAAATGAATGCATCACATATTTGATTCTCGTATCACTTATCTGATGCTATTGCATTGTACTTATTCTATGTTGTTATTCTATTTATTTATTTATTTATTTATTAAAACATCTTTTAACAGGCTAACATTGATCAGCTCGCAGGCTGTTTAACATAATGGTCCTGTTTTACATTTAATACTCCCATGAACGCAGTTTGGGAAAATTCAACGTGTTTGGTCTCTTTGGTTTTCCATATATTCTTTCCAAAATATTATGAACATTAATTTACATAATTATAGAAGCATTGTTGAATCTATTATTAATATATTGTCTGATCTTAACTCCAGCATAGGGTTATCCACTTTATTCATCAGATGCACATTAAAAAAACATGTCTTGAAACACTTCTTTCAGACGAAAATTCCACTGTTAACTGATTAAGGAAGTATGATGAGTGAATCTCATTCTTCTGAAATTTTTAAACTTTATCTCTTTTTTCTCTCTATCACCGTGCGGTTAGGGACAATATTTGTGATATGCACTATTGTAAGTATGGCACATTATTATCATCATTATTACTCTTACTTTTATTGTAATTATTACACAAAGATTTGACAGGTGATCTGTACCATAAAAGAAAAATACAAGTAGCTTGGATTTGCACAATATACCACATATTGCAATGTATATGTACTGACCCGACTAAATATATAATCATGAAATATCATTGTCCTGAAATATCATACTCACATTTCAGATGGTGGTAAATTATTTTATACTTTATTTACCAATAAATCAGACAGAGTTTGATTTGAAGAACTTCCACAAATGTACTGTGGGCCCGTATTGTACTAACATTTCAACCCGACGTTGGGTTTGTGCTTTTGCTCAAAATCAGATTTAACAAAGGAAGTACTTACAAATCTTAAGTTTTTCTTTGTTATGTATTATAACCCAGGGTGGGGTTTTCATCTTAGTACAATACGGGCCCACTGTACATTCAGTCTTAGAAGTTTTATTAACAACATTTCCATTAAGCAAAAGCTCTATTCCTGATTTGGTGAACTGTCCTCACTTGATCACCACTTGAACAACGTAAATGCTAAAATAAATACTGAAATTTGTCATGTAAATCTGATTATCCATTTTTTTATTCGAGAGAATAACAAACATTATAAATCATTCTACATGAAATCGACACAAATATTGCAAATTCTGACATATCTAAAGTTCTTTATTTGATGCTCTCTATATTTCTGATCAGAGAGAATTATTTAAAATATCTCATTCTCATAAAAATCCTAAATAAAATATACATTGGCCCTTTTTAGTACAATGTAGTACACGTACATGTCCATGTATATGTATATGTTTATGTTATATGTGCAAGTATATACTTGGTGAAAGTTCGGAATTTTGCCGCAATAAGTAAAATCAAAACACTAGTTTTGTAAAAAAAAAAAAAAAAAGCAACATAATCCAGTTACCAGTAATGACAATGTGAAGCTAAGAAACATTGGTATTTATCGGTTCACATCTCTCACTTTTTTAAAAATTATTATCTATTTCAGAATGATGGACAAATACATGAACTCATGGTATTTATCCCTTCACATCTGTAAGTTCTTTAATGTAATTACTTCACTAATGACTATCTATTCAGAATGATGCACATGATCATATTGAATGCTTCATCTGTATGTTTCTTTTGGGTTGAGGTGATGCTTGTAGTAATCTAGCACTTTCTTCCAGGCTTTGTCTACAGAGTGGGCATACAGGTGTGGTGTACCTCCCCAGGTAGTGAAATAGGCTAGATATATGTAAAGGTTTTGAACAAAAAGAATGAAAGGCATCATGATCTTTATCAATAGGACAAATCAATATATACTATCATCAATTATCAGAAATTACACACAAAAAACATAACTTCACACCTCGTAAGGAATATCATCGGCAAATACCAGATAGAAAAGCCATAATTTCAGACATCTTTAATAATTAAAATTCGATCAACAAAATTGAGTAGCTCTGTGTGTTCAAGGTTTCTTGCTGGTATACTACTACTGAACTACTAGCGTTAACTATTGATCTGCAAAGAGAAATTATACTTTACAAGTGTACCAATTCACTGAAATAATTTGTGTACAGATTACGTGTATAAAATCAAACTAAAGAACTTCTCCCAGCTTTCTATGGGCTAAAAAAGAGAAAGAGAAAGAAAAAAAAATAAAAATAAAACCCGCGCACATGGAGCAAAAGCCAGACTTCTTTTCGATGCGTGCTCTATTTCAGGCAAGTACATAAGGGTGTGTTGCATAATGTAGTCACAAATCACTTTTATGTTAATTGAAAGTGTATTTTAACTTGCACAAAAATGTCTTAACAGAAGAAGCATTTGAAGCTCATATCTAGAATATAGTATTACGACTTGAAACTACTAACATACAAAACAAAAGACTTTGGGGTGATTGCCTGATTGGTACACATTAAACTTGGTTGGCTGTAACACTGCTCATCATGTAAATGTACTTACGATATCGTACAGTAGGAAACTTGATAGAGGACTGTGTACAGATAGGCATGTACGGAGCGTCCAGAAGGTGTCCTGAACCTTCTAACGAAAAGGTCTCCACCAGGTGATCTTTTCCTGCCTCCTCCATGGCAGATATAGTCTAGAAATGCAAACAAAAAAATAATAAAAATAATACTAGTAATACTGCTGCTGCTACTACTACTAATAATAATGATAATAATAGCTAAATTTATAATACACACACACACACCAGGGATGTTTAATAAAGGTGTGTACAAAGTACTAGTATTACTCTGGTTTTACTCCAGCTGCCCTAGATCACTAGTAAAAGCATTCAAAGAATAAGTACCTATTGGGTACCCATTTAAATGTAATGCACCTGGATGGAGAGTGGCAAATGTAGATAAATATCTCGTAAAAGGGACTCGTACCACGAACCACATGCTCCAAAGTCATACACACTAGACCACGACACCTCTACATTTCAAACAGCCCGTCAAAAATACGGTCTAACGGTATGGGGCATCATTGGATTTTTCATTACGACTATTTGAAACATCAATTTGACGAACGAAATGACCACCATATTGTTTGCAAGACACATGCTCCAGCATTAACTTACTTTTCTGCAGTCAATATCCTACACTAAACTCAACACTCAACTTCAAACCTGGGCCCTGTTTCATAAAATTTATTATCAATAACAAATGCTAATTTTCTATGGAAAATTTGCCGTCAGCCAATCAAATGACACGATTTCAGTAGCTTAAAACAGATATTGCTTTTAACAGACTTCTGATTATGCCAGAAGGGCGTTAACACCGTGTGAAATGATACCAGTTAATGCACTTCTGGCTCTAAACAAAGTGGTCAGTATACCTCTAGCGTGCGTTCCTTTGACGGCTGGTATTGATCATCTTCAGCAAGTAGAAAGAGAGTTGGCACTGATATGTTTTCAACCTACGATGATTAGAATACAGGAAGTAAATATCAAGGTCACATTCGCTCAAGACTGTGTACTGTAGATTTAAAAAAATAATACAAAATCCTTAAAAATTACATGTAAGTAAGTAAATTTTGCTCAACATTTTGAAATGCATTGCGATCTGTAATGTTAGGGAGTTCCATATACATTGTATGGATATCCTTTGAAGGATCAAATTTAGTTCAATTCTATTTTTTGTTTTTGGAGATCACTTATGATCAGTTGAAATACCTTCTTGGGCAGTCTAAGTTGAAAGGCATAACGTTACTTTAACTGATGCATATCTATATATGTATATTATAATATTTTCACTAATATCCTTACATAATACAATATTGGTTTCATTTGGGAAATTAAAATAGAAAATGCCGTCAAAACAGGAACATCTCAGTTTTGGTTACTTACAGAAATCGCAAACTTTTTTTAACGAAATAAAGAAGAAACTAAGGGAAGTACACATTATGACAAATTAGAATCTCCAAATGTGATAAGATTATTCGTCAGGAAAATTCATTGATGAAGAAACTACCTAGAAGTTATTCCGAATGCTCGATGATAAAATAAAATAGAAATTACAGTGCGCCATCTACATTTGTCTTTACTGACCAAACTCTGAAACAAAGCGCACACAATGAAACACAATTTAGTTTCAGTATTTATTCAATCCCATGATAAAAATTTGGTCCATAAATTTGAATTAGATTTATCTGTCCTGTCAATTGACAATGCTACACTGAATGGAATTCTTCCACATGAGTTCAAAGGAAAAAAAGAATGCTTTCAAATCATTATTCCGTTCACAATCGTATTGCCTACTGGAACTGGTTGGTCACTGTATGAAGGTCATGCGTATGGGACAATTTGTTGTCAACCGGTTAAAACATACAACTTACCGGAGGAAGGTAGTCTTCCATTTTGTTCGCATGCACAACTTTCATGCTTTCATACTCCTTGCAGCAAAACCATGTATATCCATCTTTCTCATAGGTCTCCGTAAACTCTTCCAGGGGCCTGTATAACGAAGTAAGGGAACACGACAGGGTTATCTTTTGGCGAAGTTGATAAAAGGGGTGAGTCTAAGACTAAACACCATAAAAGAAACAGGAAAACGAAAAGACTTTCAACAATTTAGGAGTAAAAGAATGTGGGACTTTACTCTCTCGCAAACATAGCGAGTAAATCGCTATGTTTGCGAGATTATTGTTTCCCAAAGAAGGGATGCAGGACGATATGATTGTACACGTATACAAGAAAACTCGACGTGCTAATTGTTATTACAAAATGGTTCCCTGAATGCCCTGTCGGCAAGTCCGACGATATCTGACAAGCAGAATTAAATTGTTATAAAATTATAGTGGACACAACAAACACAGGTTTTATTCATAATCTTTTTTATTTGTGATATCCAAATTTGAGTTTGCCAGCGTCCGACCCCTCCCCCCCCCCAAAAAAAAAAAGTGGTAGTGGTTGAAGTCATCATGGGTTGAGGGTTCAAATCTCAACCCAGCACTAATGTCCTTTGCTAAGACATTAATTCACATTTACCATTCTCCACGAAGGTATAAATGGGTACATGGCAAGCACCGGGGTATTAATAATTGCAGGGTCCTGAAGAACTGCATTAAAGCTGAGGACGCTTATCATCATCATTATTATCAATAATGTTATCATCATTATTATTATTATTATTGTTATTATTATCATTTATTTTAACAATGATAACAATAATACATATAAATTAAATGACATAAAATAAAAACGAGCCTTCGAAACAGTGAAAGAGTTCGAATCCCTTCGGCACTTACCCACGGGGTTCAATATATTTTCCGTTGGGCATCTTCATTCCGACGACAGACATCAAGATATCGAACATACTGGAGAAGACAGCACACTTAACAGGAAGGTTTAAGCTGGAGAGACCATGAAAGGCCAATGTGCTGCCAGTACAGAACCCAAACAAACCCACCCGAGAGGCATCCAAGCGAGGATGATTTTCAATGTACTGAAATAAATCCTACATGAATGCATGGTTAGAGAAGAAGAAAAAAAGAAAAATTCACAGAAAGTAAAGTTATGATTAAGACTGAATTTTTGTTTATTATCATATCTCTTGTGATAATCATCTATATAGAAATATGTTTTTTAAAGAAATGTTAACTAGGTTAAAAAAAAAAGATTACTCGTTAATTTGAAAGTGTATCAAAAATTGAATATGACATTTAGAAAATGGTGACAACATATTTCACTATTTGAATGTTATTACTGAATAATTACAACATGTATTATTTTACGATTATTTGATATTAGTTGTTTTGTTAATTAGAATCAGTTATTAATATAAAGATTGCTAAAAGTATTGATTTCTTATATTCTTGTATGTATTTAAAATTTGTAAACTGAAGTGTATGAGTCTCCGGATTTTTTATTCAGTATCTTTTTATTTACGATAAACTAGAGTTGAATTGAATTGAAAAAGTCAACAAAATTATTGTTCACCCTTCACAACTCAACCTTTCTATGCCACAAAAATAATCTGATTATGCCACATAGTATTAATCATAGGATAGATAAACCAAATGCTTAAAGATTATTTAACAAGATTAATCTATACCAGTATTTGAAGGGTTGCCATGGAGCCAAGACCAGAAATTGATGATTTTGCAAAAGCCATTGTGTTGCAAAAAGCAATCCTTGCATCAATGTATATATGAGGGATGGGCTCTAGCATAAGGACCATGCTCCTTTTGAGCTCATCCCTTCACTCCCATTATGTTATTTTTAAAAAAATATTTTGTTGTTGTTGTTGTTGGATGTATGATATTTTATGTGTGATTATTCCCTATTTAATTGTATATATTCTGTGTTTTAATGAAACGTGTTAATAAGCGAACTTGAACTTGAACTTGAAATGTATGCCTATCATTTTGTAAAAATGTGCATGTATTGCAAACAAGTGACCGTGCAGAGAGGCACAACAAAAAGTAAGTTAAGTGTCGAGAGATGGACTCAAGGAGAGATGGACTCAAGGAAAGAAGTAAACGTACCAGGAATGCCTGTGCATCAAAATAAAAGACACTCATGTCTTCTGTTGGTTCAAATGAGGCCATGAAATCTATTTCAAGGACAGCATACCCGTGGGACGCAAGCAGAGATGCACGATCTTCCAAGACGCCATTACCAAGGCCTCGTAGTTCAACCACCACTGGGAGAGGATCCGAGACACCTGGAAAGCAATAATATTTATCATGATATCTATTTTTGTTGTAATAGTGTTTTTAGAGTTTTTAACATCTGATCAAAGGAATTAGTGTATTTTTACTTCGGTAATTGGATTCATTTACAATGCTGCACTTAAGACTTGTTAAAATGTTTTTTAAAGGATACTGTGATTTACATTTTTGTATCTTAAAACACACTTTTATCAATCCCACTTGCCATTAATGTTATGCAAAAAAATATAAAACAACACATATGAATAACAACGAGCTACAATCAGGTTATTACATATCGTCAAATAAATTAATATAAGCTCATGAGAACCATATTCCTTGATGTTTGTATTTAAAATTAGAAGAAATTAGGTACGTATTCAACTGCCACAATGTAGTTAACCAATGAATAGATACACCCTGGTTCAGAGAAGCATTGTAGATAAAATTCCCTCACTGAAGGGCATTTTTAAACCATGAGTTTTGTGTCTCCAATCAAGTTTTAGGATTCACGTAATTCCAATATTCATATTGTTAGGTGTTTGGTACATTCCGGATAAACATGTATATATTTCTTTGTATTCTGTTTTACCTTTATGCTTGGGGAAGAAGAATACTCCATGACACTTTCCAGTGGAAACTTTTACCCTTTCAACATAGTCAGCCAGATAGCATCTCTCAATCACCTCCGAAGCAAGCAGGGTGGTTTCAGGCTCACCACGATCTAGAAGCTTTATGGTGTACTTCAGTGGCTGTCTCGAGTCTGCTTTCTTCAGTCTCGGGTAAAGATGGGCTACCTCTGGTACAGGTTTACAGCTCCAGATCAGGCCCATAGGCTCCACACCTTCATAGGTCCCACCAAGAGAGGCGTGTTGACTGACTACATAGCATAACGAAATGACATTAAGTATGAAATTGGCATCGAAATCGTTTAAGGAGCTTCTTGGCTTTCAACTATACATGCTGCCGACATTGCCAGGTAATACCATAAAATTGTTCTGTACGCACACTAAAGAGAGGCTAGAAGGACCGAGGGTAGTCAGCCTAAATTAAAATGTAATACTATTAAATTGTAACAATATTAGATATTTTCATAGCACATATATCCATCATGCAAGGTTCTCAAGGCGTTTCAATATTACATGCTAGTCTACCGATTGTGGTACTCACAGCATTTAAATAATTTCTTCCTAGCGGTACTCATTTAGAACTGGGTGAACAACGAGTGGCAAATGTAGATGATTTTGTTTTTACAAAAGGACATTAAATACAATCCTATCATTATCAAGCTACATGTATTCCTGTTCGAGACCAAACAACAAACTATAACGGGAAAAAAAGAAGGTAGAAAGAGGTTCTATATATGAGCTAGGATTTATGTCATCTACACAAACATACTGGAAATTTAGTATCTCCTCTTTAATTAGAGACACAAAGGTGGCCACACAAAATAGAATCAAATAACGGTATATAAAACTCCAAAGAACACTTACATGACAAGCAATTTTCATAGATTTTCAGAGAATTGACATGATAAAATTATCTATTTTGTTTGTTGTCCAAAGTTAAATAGTTAAATGCCAAGTAAGTATGAAAGTATTTAAGTTCAATACTAGGCTACCTAAAGTACATTGCGCGCATTAGAATGACTAAAATACAATGTACCACGATTCTTAAAGGTCTATTATACTTCCAAAACTCTTTAGAATATACCAAATTTGTTTCTTGCCTTGATTAAAATCATTTTAAATTTTCAGAAGTGATTTTAACTTATATACAAGCAGTAGACTAGAATAGCTTCATTGAAATTATTTGTCGTAAGATACTAAGGCGATTACTAAATGTGCTGTATACCTACTCATAGTGGGTACTTTATAATGCAACATTTTTGTTTTGATACCATTTGAGACAGACAATGTTTTTTAAAAGCAATCATAACTTTAAATCTTCTCTTGCAAATTTCGAAATAATTTGATGTTGCCAATCACACTTTTTGTTTACACCCCCTACATGTACAGAATGATATTTAATGAAGACGGTCTTTACGTTGTTTTGAATTAGAATGAACCATTTTGAAAAGACACATGTTCTTCTTGTTTAATATAATTTGTTACTTGGTTTCATAAATAGCTGTAAGAATGCCGAGGTAGTCACAGTCTTCGTTTTTTCTCTGATTGTTACCTATGACTTGACCTTTGGCATCGGCTTGAAACATGGCCACTGACTGAAACCTGAATCTTTGGCATTCTGACTCCACTTCTGCCTGAAGCTGTACAAGTTGACCCGGAAGTAATCCACTGGCCCTCACATCAAGCAGGTCATCTGCAAGACCACACCTTGGATTGACCTGGAGAGCTGGACCAGGTCTAGAGCTAAACAGCCTGTTTGAGGAGGACCTGGTCATGGTCTGGTGTAGATTCTGCCTAGCCCATGGGTGAAGCTTGGAAGTGTGTCGCAGCAGAGTCTGCAATCTCCTCAAGCCTGACATTTTAGTTTGGCCAAGGTACATGGCCAAGGATCGAGGATGCACTTCAAACTGGTGATCCTTCATCATAGTTTTAAAATAAAAGAGTGGATAAACAATGCTAATTATCATATTAGGACCAGTCATTGGTTTACATCTGTGCAAAGCTGACTAGGTTCCCGTAAATAAAATGAGACATCTGTGCAAGCACCAATTGTAAGTGTTAGTTCCAATTTCAATTTTTCATCATCAACATTTTCCCCAACCTGTCTAAGATCGCGATTGTTAGAACAGATCATGAGCTTGCTAAGGAAATCAACTCCAGACTGTTATGCCTGCGTCATATATCCAACGGTCTCCGGCCGAATTTGTGGATCGCAAGATGGTCGCCGAATTTTAAAACAGCCAGGGCATCGAGCGCACTTTTCGCTTTAAATCTACCCTAATCACATATTGAACGGGGCTCGGGAGGTGCCCTTTGAACACTAGTGATTAGAAATCGCCAGTAAATATACGGGAATCGGGCGAAGCCCGCTAGACATAAGGGCGGGCGTCATTCAACTTTTGGTGGATGATCAATAGGCGCGCCACGAATTTATAGGACATTAAAAAAGTTGAACACATCATATTTCTGAGGTCTGAGAGAGTGGATAGCACAGCATAGCCACTTATTACTTTGAAAGTTTTGAGAGAGTGAGCCCAGAGGTTGCTGCAGAATTTGCAGAATTTGAGACGGTACAACCAACCGAACTAAGATGCCGCCAAAGAAGACCGAGGGGGGTCAGGAAACCCTTTCCTTAGAAGAAGGCGGTTCGAGAGCCTGAGTCTGCTTTACCGAGAAACATTAAAAGTATGGCAAAATGATTGGGATATCCCCAGGGCCAACAAAGAGTGCGCTGGGGGTCTAACGCCTGCCCCCCCCCAAAAAAAAAAAAAAAAAAAAATGTGAGGCACACGTGGAAAATGAAGGCAAAAAGTAGGTACCCCTAAATAAGTTAAATCCCCTTTAACATATTCCCTTCACAAGGTCTTAATGTAATTACCCCTCAAAAATTACATGCTTTTATTGATATCAACAATTGCAAATTACATATTATACATACAGTAGGCTTGTGGGTGCACCGTGTGTGAGAGAGAGAGAGGGAGGATTGAGGAGTCCTGAAAAGGACTCTCGGCAATCTTTCTTGAGGGTGTGTAGTCCTGAAAAGGAATGTTGGTGTAGTCTTGAAAAAGACTGTTGGTTATTTTTCTTAGCTTATAGTTCTAAGGAGAACCAAGACTACACCAACAGTCCTTTTCAGGACTACACGCCCTCAAGAAAGATAACCGAGAGTCCTTTACAGGACTCCTCAATCCTCACTCTCTCTATCACACACGGTGCACCCGCAAGCCTACTGTATATCTACACCATGCAAGCCGATACTTACAAGCAGCATACATATTATAAAGTTATAAAAACATAACGTCCCGACTCCCGAGGCAAGGGTACCCTAAATAAGTTCAAACAAACTCTACGAATACATTCACACGTACGCATACACATACACTTGTATACACTCTTTTCTTCCCTCTCTCTCTCCCAATCGGCAACTGCGGGTATCATATCTCAATTTTACTTTAACAATAATATTCTTCATTCCTACGTATATGTTTGCAAAGCAGAGGGGCTCTCTACAAAATATTAGATAGCTACATGTATTAACTACATGTACACGATCCAGACGTATACATTAGGGACTTTTAATAATAATAATAATATTTAATTTTTATATAGCGCTTAATACAAATGTCTCTAAGCGCTTTTAGATTTGCGTGGACTGATACGTGTGACGTCCATTCAAGGCAGTGCATTAAAAGGACGTCGATCGTAGCAATCCTCGTTGTTGTTGACTTTTGTGCAAATCTAAAAGTCCCTATTGATACGAAGTCCGAACTGTAACATCCTGTGTAGACTTTGAACTTTGTTCAGTCAGGTGTTGCTTGGCATTGAGACATACAACCGAACAAACATTACCTGATAATATTATTTAAAAATTCGCCTGCTTATTTTGCACAGACGAATCCGTCATAGTATATTACTGTACGGATTCTTCCCTTCAAAGTAACGCTGAGGAATTTATCAGTTAAAAAAGTTTTGAAATTACTCCTATTTGATTTCTTGGGAAGGGAAACCTTTATATACTCCCATGTTTTTAGTTTCCCTACTCACCATTCTCTAATGGGATTCGCCTTTTTCAAAATAGTGATGTCAAAATAGTGATGTCAAAATAGTTACCTTGTAAAATACACCCTGACCTGTTAGCTATACAATAATGACAATTTTGTCGAATACAATATATAGTATTATAGAAAATTTAAAAAGTTGTGCACATCACATTTCTGATGTCTGAAAGAGCGAAAAACGTATAACTTTTTAGTACTTCAAAGGTTTTGAGAGAGTATGAACACAGGAGTTGTTGCAGAATTTGCAAAATTGTATAATGTACAGCAAACCAAACTAAGAAGCCGCCAAAGAAGACCAAGGGGGCAAGGAAACCAGGAGGCGGCACGAAAGCCTGAGTCCTGTTCACCGAGGAATATTACAAATATCTCAAAATGCAGGGGACATATATTCCCCAGACCAGCTAGGCCGGGCCATAGTCCCGAGTTGACATGAGGAGCCCGGCCGGGGCCGATAGTCGCCGCCCGACGGCGGGCCGACACCAGCACGGAGCGCGCTCGACTTTGTATTAGTCGGAGGAACTCGATCCGCGCTCTACCACTGATCTAACTTAACTAATTAACTTTGTTTCAGAACCTAAAATGGTCTGTGATTGTACTGGTTTTTAAAAATTTCAACAACACGACACCGATTTCAAACTGAAAGTGTAGAATTTCCACCAAAACGGACTTACGAGTAAATCATAATTACCTCACTTGGGCCTTGGCGTTCAAAGGTGCATTGACAACTTTGACTTTTGAGCGCGAGCTGAGATATGATAGATACAAAATCACAAACCCCCAGCATTCTATGTTAAAAAATACACATATTGTAATAGTAAATAGTGGCAATGAAATGTTCTTGGATTTTTTTTACAACAACAACAAAATCACTTTTGAGGTGATTTTGGACATTGACAATATTATATATACAAATATATACTGCCTTGAGAAGTTGAGAGCTACGAGCTAGGCTCTGGTTAAATTTATGGGCCCAAGGTGACTGCAATAGCACCATTAAAGTCACCGAGGGACCATAGTTTTAATCCAGACACTCGAATAAAGACAGCATATATTTGTTTTAAATATTTTGCAGCGATCATTCATACCGTATAGGATGTCAACAGAATGTCGTATTCTCACGTCGAAGTTCAATTTACTTTAATACTTTACGCACTGCGACATGATCAAGTACTGTGTTAATTTTTATTGTCTAATCTCATTATAAATATGAATTTTTCTTGACTTTCCAAATTACTAATTTTTTCTATAAAATCTATTCGTAAATCTTCATACTGGTCACATTTCATAATTATATGGAATTCATCTCGTACAAGATTCATATTACAGTCTTCACAGACTCGTAGATTCGGGGGCGTTTTTTTTTTTTTTTTTTTTTTTTTTATCTTCCCGTTTCCATGGGTAAGTTGTGTGTGCTCAGACGTAGTTTGGTGATATTTTTACCTAAATGTATATTTGGTATATACACTGAGTTTTGTGAACCAGGGTCCATTTAGTCCAGAATCTGCCCGGTCCCTTATTGATTCAAGCCGTCAAAGATGGCGGTATCAACAAACTCATAATTATGCTCACCGTCCTAATTAATGATCACACCATCATCGGCTGGTAGCAAATAGGTAGGGTGAGGTAGCGTTGGCAGGTGTGGTGGAGATCAAAGTTAAATAGGCCAGATTCTGGAAGAGGGTCCATTCACTGTAGAGTCAATATACTGCAACCGATCGGACTGCGTACACTCCAATGCATTTGAATGAAGCCTTCTATCCTCCTCGCTCTCCCCTCCCTAGACACAGGTCATGACACCGGCTGTTTCATAGATCAGTAACATCCGGTTCACAGGTCAGTAATCCACACATCACACACCGCACATTTATTACACGTTCACAAATATCACATCAACTGAATAAACACACTGACAGCCTAACACATAAGCAAGGTAAAACACTTTAAATTTGCATAATCATTTCTAAGTTTATTCCGAAAGTATTTCTCGTACTAATTTTTGCTATCTTCATGATACTAGACTATGATTGAGTGATATTAAGTTTGTATACCATGTATATTTATTAATACAATGTACTTGTTTTTGTATGTGTTTGCACTTCAGAACCTGAAGACGGCCTCACAAGCCGAAAGCTCGTAATACAATGTAAAGTACAGCTACGTCTCACGTTTCTAGAGCATTTTCTTCACGCCTACATATTTTGGAACACCCGTTGTCATGTCAGAGTTGAGAATTCTCGCACGTTTATATATATATATATCTCTTTTTCCATCAGGTCTCTATATCTGTTACTTCTCTCCCTTTTCTTCCCTAGATTTAAATATTTTAACATATTAATGGCATATATAGCAAACATACTGTCTGTAGGTCGATTTTTATTTCTAGTACAGAAAACAGATAAAAAAAGAAAGACTGTGAAATAAGAAGTGGTGGAGTAACTTTAAGGGGGTACCGGTTCCATTGAAAAGGGTACTTCGAGAAAAAAGGAAAACCCACAAAGTGTGAACACAAAGCAGGTTAAAAAAAATAGACATTGAAACTCCAACATTCCAATTGATACGTTATCAATGATCGTCTTCGACATCGTGTTTAACCTTCACGTGGATCTGGATGTAGGAACTAATTTCATCTTCTTCTTTTGGGGGTTACATATCTGCCTCCATCCGATTTGAAGATTCTTGCAGATGGCTGACTCAGTGTGTGTGGGTAGGTGACTTCGGGTGCAGCGTGCATACGATTTATAAGGTGCAAGTAAAAAGTCTTGTCCGGTTTAGCTCTTTGACGGAAGGCTATTGGAGAGGAGGCAGTAGGGATTTTTAGATTTAAACGACGAGAGCGTGGACTGCCGCGTGTGACATTGTGTTAAGGCACTGGGCCGTGCCCGGCAGTGCCTTAAAAGGACGTCACATTACCTTAAAAGGATGTCACACGTGGCGGTCCACGTTCTCGTCGTGTAAATCTAAAAGTCCCTATTGATTTTGCTGAATGGGAGAGCATTCCATGCCTTAACAGTCTTTGGGAAAAGGACTGTTTGAGAAGTTCTGTCCTGCAGTTAGGAATCTGGTAGCCATCTGCATGTACGTGTTGATCGGGACAACATTTACCTGTCGCCAATCCTCTTGTATCTCACCAGTGTTATATGAGATCCTGTGGATATTGGAGGATTGGAGCGATGATGCTGGATAGCTGGTTCAGAACTTGAGGTGTAAACCATCAGGCCCGGGAGGTTTGTGGTTCTTGAGTTTCTTCAGCGGTTTCTCGACACCTTGGACTGTTTAACCTCATGCAATGTCTGGGTATGGGGATGTTTCTGGCAAGAGATGTGGAAGGACTTGTGTTTCTCTATTTAAGACGCATCCAAACTGCCGATTTAGAGTGTCAGCTTTGGCAGTTGCTTCTGTCACTAATAATTGGCCTTCTGATTTTGAGTTCAGCTATGCCAGTGCTATCAGTCAGGTTGTGCTTGATGGATCTCCAGAAACGTGTCCTGGAGCCATACTTTGTAGATGTGTGTATTGGTCTGATGATTGAAGAACCAGGTCTCTGTAGCCTCTAATATTCTTTCAAGCTCTTTGCTTAAATAATGTCCAATACACACCCGTCGATAACATTGACCATATATATGACTTTTAGACATGGATTTTGGTTTTCATTGTAATGTTCTTAATTTTTATTACGGATTTTATCTGTTTGAATGTAGCCTTCGCCATTCCAATTCCTATCTTTATTTCATGAATACCTTTCCTATATGATAGTATACCCGAATATTTAAACGTGTGGGTTACTGCACGCCTTTTCCATCAATGTCTTATTGACATAGAATATTAAATGGCTCATCACATTTAACACGATCAAAGATTTGCATAGTCAATGAAACAGAAATTCATTTGGGGGGGGGGGGGCATTTCATTGCTTCGTCTAGCCATCATTGGTTGACTAAAAATGTCAATTATTTAAACCTTTGTCAAAAACAAATCCAAACTGTGTGTCAGATCGAATTTAAATACTTATGTACAACTATTATTACACACGCACACACAACCATCATCCTGGAATAGAAGGTATATATATACAAATGCCTGTTACTTAAAGGGATTCGGTAACTTTGTCTTAGATCCTTAAAAAAAAATCCTTAATTTAGCTCATGCTGCAATGATAATTATAAACATTTAGGTCAGTCAGGAACCCCATGACTTTTACAAGCCGATTGCCTGTCTGATTATCAAGCTATTTATGATTGAAAATCGAAATCAAATTTTGCGTTTGCCAAACGATTTTCATAACACTACAGTCTATTGGGGAAAACGAGTATGGTAAAACCGGTCACTCAAAGGTTTTTACCTTTTTGAGGCACTTTTTGAATATTTTGAAGCGCAATTTTTTAGGGCTTCAATATAACACCATATCACAGACACTGGTAACACGTAGGGTCGTGCATCTCAGATTTAACATTGTTAAACGATCCCATTAAATTCTTGCGTCTACTTTTCTTTTCTTGGATTACTATTTACTATAGTATACAGATACAGCATCATTCAAAATGGCCTCATCAGCTCCAGCATTGCTCGGAGGTTCGTTAAAGGGGAAGGTTGCCCTCATCACAGGTAATGTATAGACTTCATTTGGGACTCCTACATTCTAAGATTTTATATGAATTTTATATAGACCTATTATGGTCAACCTTCATGCACATTTCAAGCAGATTTGCTACTTGCGTGTTAATAAGGTGAATATAGTATAGTATTAATGACTGATTTGAGAGAAATAGTTGTTTTTATACGCTCAAGGGAAGGTAATTACAATTGTGCTATTGCCCGAGGCGTGCCGAGGGCAATAGCACAATTGTAACCTTCCCGAGAGCGTATAAAAACAACTATTTCTCGAATATCAAAGCAGTCATTAATACTTTTATATACCGAAGAGTCAACTTACCAATCAACTGGTAGAACAGGTACTCAGGTAGAACTCAGAACTCCGTAGAAAATAACTCAACCGTAGAACCATAGAAAATAAACCGTAGAACCGTAGAAAATAACTCAACCGTAGAACCGTAGAAAATAACTCAACCGCAGAACCGTAGAAAATAACTCTAGATCTATTTGTTAAAAATGTTTACCGTACAATTGTGAAAATTATATGTGGGGGCTTGCACCTGCTGACTAGTAGAAACATGGGCATGGCTACTTGTAGTGATGTTGCATGTGCGTGGGAAGTTCTCTGGGTTACAATTTCCGATCAAAATTCACATTTCACTCACTTCTGACACCATGTGGAATAACTTCAAAATTATTCATCCCTAAAATATCAAATGGTAAGACCGAAATGCCTATACATAAGAATCCAGGAGACCCGTCAGTGTGGCATAATTGCTCACTATGCATATTGAAACTACTTTTAAAAACAAATTCAACACAAAGGGAATAACTCATTCCCAAATCTATGCGATACAAAATAAATCACCACTGACTGAGCCTTGTCTAATGCACTATTGTAAGAAAGAAAACCGACAAAATTTACCTTCGTGCCAAGTACAAAATAGCTGCACCACATTTTTGGTCCATAAACATGGTGTCAGAAGTGAGTGAAATGTGATTTTAGATCGGAAATTGTGCCGATATCTACAGCTTGGTGTGATGCGCTACTGAGTACTGCGCCGATTCCTATGTGTGGGACCGGACTGTGATTGTAAACGGCGGTGAGTCTGCAGCTGCTATAGTATAAAGTCATACCGATTGTCGTATTGAACTATGAATCAATCAAGTCTCTCATTTGATCATCATCAAGAAGCTGAAATCTTCGGAGCGTTTCTTATTCAGCCATTTTGGCCTAGTACAGACGGTCGTCTGCGCTGCTGGCAGCCTACTAGCCCAGGTCGAAATTCCATTAGGATCCGATCCTATTAGACCATCAGAAACCATTAGACCTATTGGTGTCTAATGGTTTCAATAGGGAAAGTGAAATGATGGACCCACAGAAACCATTAGAAAATATCTATTGGACCAACACAAACCCACAGAAAGAAATGCTGATGGACCAACAGATTGCTTCTATTGGACCAGCATCCACCCATGTCTTCTATGGGTTTCTGTTGGTCCATTAGATATTTTCTTCTATGATGGGTTTCTGTTGGTCCATTAGATATCTTCTATGGGTTCCTGTTGGTCCACTAGAGATCTTTCTATGGGTTTCTAATGGTCCCATATTCTGAATTTCCTATTGAAACCAATAGTCCAATGGCTTCTATTGGTAAATCAATAAGGATAAATCAAAATCGATTTTGGCAACTGTCCACCAAAAAAAGTATATTCTAATCTCAATTGCATTAACTCCATCACATAGATCACTTGAAGTGAGTTTAAGAATATCCTTTATTTTAACTGAAGGCTTATACTATTCTATATAATAAACATACATGAATTGTTTCTTGGTTAGTAATCATTATAATCAATATATCTATTGCTAAAACATGAATGAAATTGTAACATGATTAAACAAATAATCTATTGGTCATTAGTTGCCGAAAGAAAATAAAAATCACAAAATTGATGTACATTGTCATAAGTTGCTTAACAAATTATGATAAATGTAATTTTCTGTGAACACGTATAAAGTAATCATGAATATGCATGAGATAGATTTAGCTGTTGGTTTCTATTGGTTTCTATTGGACCTATTGGTTTCTATTGGTCCCATTGGGTTCTAATGGTCTCATTGGTTTTCTATTGGTCCTATCGGTCCTATTGGTCCTATTGGTCCTATCGGTTCTATTGGTTTCTATTGGTCTTATTGGTATATATTGGTCCTATTGGTTTCTATTGGTCCTATTGGTTTCTATTGGTCCTATTGGTCTTATTGGTTTCTATTGGTCTTATTGGTTTCTATTGGTCCTATTAGTCCTATTGGTCCTATTGGTTTCTATTGGTCTTATTGGTTTCTATTGGTCCTATTGGTTTCTATTTCTGTTGGTTTCTATTGGTTTCTGATGGTTTGAATGGTCTCTATTGGATTCAATTCTATGGGTCCAACAGAAACCAATAGACTCCAACAGAAACCATTAGAGACCAATAGAATTTTTCTAATGGTCTCTGTTGGTCTCTATGGGATTTTCGACCTGGGAGGGAGTCGGCTAACTCGCCCCACGGGACATCTCGCCCCAGCGAGATATCCCGACATGATTTATCGATCGAGAGATACCAGTAGTCTGCTAATTAACGGCCAGGACGAAAGAATGTGAACAAATATCAGCCATATCGTCTAAAATGTACAATGAGCACAAACATATACACAATCATTGGTAACTCTCGATCGATGAATCGTGTCGGGACATTTCGACCCAGTCTTTGATGCTGGGGCGAGATGTCCCGTGGGGCGAGTTAGCCCGGATTCAAATTGGTAAAATATAGCGACCAATAATTCTTCGCACACGTACGGTATCCTCGATCGCTCAGACCATTTTTTAACACGTAAACCTATGGGGTAACCATGAAGACTGACCTATTTTCCCAATAACCATGGTTATTGGGATTTTGAACTGTTTTTTAATCATGGTTACCGGGAATTTTCGGGAACAGTTAAAGTTTATGAATGCAATTTCGACCAATCAGATTGCTGGATTACTTAAGTGAGGTATATAATTGACCATAATATAGGTCTATATAAAATTCATAGAAAATCTTAGAATGCAGGAGTCCCAAATGTCTTTATATTGCACCAACTTTAGCCAAATGCGACACCATAATATGATGTAATCGTTGATTCAACCTACGGAGTAGGATTCTGTAGGATTCTATATAGCCTTATCCATTACCTTGAATATTTTTCGTAATGAAAATGGCGCTTAAAGAGAAGGTTGAGTTCTGGGAAGAGGTGAAAAATAATTTGTGAGCATTACTCATTCTTATTATGCAAGTGTGGAAGAACATCAGTTAAGACATGTTCCCTGAAAAGCATGGCTCTTCGAATGCCTTCATATTCTATGCATGTAACATCGTAAAATCGGGGGGGGGGGGCGGCTTTTTACGCCACGTGTTCAAGTAGTCCCATATACATCTTTCTGTGCAAGTGTTTGTAACTTTATCAAGACTTGGCCAAATTTCTTATCATTTTGATGATTCCAGAACCTTGCAATACACACAAATTCTTATATGCTAGATGATCAACCTTTTCTGGTCGGTTCCACACCGTTTCTTTCACAATACAATCGCATGACCAGAACTCAACTTCATCTTTAATAAGTAATCAGTGTTGTCATTTTTTGTAGTTATTGTTATTATGGTTAATGTTTTTCTTATAGTTGAAATGTGTGAACATTACAGTTACGAATAACGTAATCTACACATGATTTCTATGGTATTGAAATATCAAAAACTTTTGCGATCAAGTTAATTTACCGCATGCGCATACAGTAGGTGCTGCATGTTACACAAAATGTTCCTTGCAATTCATAAACAAGCCTTATTGCCTTTTCTCGAACGTAATTAGGCGCCAGCTCAGGGATAGGGGCCGAGATGGCACGTCACTTCGCTTCCCTGGGATGCCGATTGGCCCTGACAGGACGTAACATGGAAACGCTTCAAGAAGTTACCAATGAATGTAAATAAAATCAATTTTCATACATTTCCATTTCTCAAAAAAAAAAAGTTTACTTCAGTGATCACACGTGTACCCGAAGTACATTATTGGGAACTTTTTTTCACTTGTCATTCGTTAGGATAGTTTCATAAAATTTGACAAATGTAATATTTAGCATACTTTAATATGTATTTTCCGAATAAATCAAATGCACAGTGTAGCTTGTAAAGGATATGAACAGTTTCCTATTTATATCGGTATCTTCATAATCTCATAATTGTTTTCATATTTTGTTTACATTTTCCTTTAATTTTGCCATTTCTCTCTCTCTCTCTCTTTGTTTTTACTATTATTTAATGCAAGTGGGACCTATTTTATTTGCATCACCGAACAGATTATAGTTAATTTATATATACAATCATGTTCATAGCATTACACAAGAAATGTAATGGAAAGTATTTGTAGGCCTCTGGCGCATTATAATTGGCCATAGGGCAGAACCAAAGTGCTCCAAAATAGGAAATTGTTGATTGTAATCTGCTTAATTTGTGAATGTCCTAATGGAAGATAGCACCCTACTACAGAACAATATAAGGTGGTGGTTGCCCCGTTTTTCTGGCGAATACTACCAGGTAGAAATGTGTTTTGTTGAAAATAATAAATGAACTATCACCTTATTATCAATTGATCCTGCATATAAATAGACACTTGTTTTTGCAAATTCGTTTAGGTATTAGGAGAGGGCTCGACAAAAACAAGGTAGGTTGGCTGTTTTGATATGAACTTACTGGGAGTAATGTATTTCCCTTCATAATTCTCTTTTTAATGCATTATCAAACGAACAAATATATAATATAAAAAATATATTTCATATAGAACTACTACTACAACTACTATTCTTACTACTTCTTCTACTAGTTGTTTAGACCATTTATTTTGCGACCAGAATGTATTACTGATTGATCGAGTAAGAAAGATGTGCCGTGCAGCCTCCTCTTTATATAAAATAGGAGAAATGAGGGTTTGACGGAGACTAGTTCATGGACTCGTAATCCTTCAAATTAATAATTATAATGCTCTTAATAGATACAAAGTTCTATGGGTAACGCTATTTTCAGGTTCTTCTCTCCTCCTCCTCCCCTTCTTACTACTATACTATACTGCTATTACTGATAATACTAATACTCATGATGATGATGTGTTCTTTTCGTTGACATTTTAAAGCTTAGCAATTTAGTATGCACCTGTCTTTCTATTATTATTGTTATGTTTGTATCAATATTATTATTAGTTACTGTAGTAGTATTAGTAGTAGAAGTATAAGTAGCATTTCAAAAATATTATTATTTAAATTTTGCCCAGATTTTAATGATCCAAGCTGACTTTGAGCTGGAAGCTGATGTGAAGAGAACTGCAGAAGAAACCATACAGAAATTCAACCAGATTGATGTGCTGGTAAGGATTACTCATGATGACAATAATTTAAAGCTTCCTTCGAAATCGCTAGCATATAGTGCCTTCTGACAATTTTAAGAAAGTTCGCTAGACCGACATTATTGTTTTACAGTGAACTGTCGGTCTCGTGGGATGTAGCCATTTTTATGCTAATGTTGAAAGGAAATAACTTGCAATTTAAAAGAAAAAAAATACCCTCGACCTGGAGGTGCTCTCTGGTGTTGCGTGGTTGCATTCTTCCATGTACCCACATCTTTGTCCAGTGCTTCTCATTGTGATTTATTACAGCAATATTTACTCAATTTTATCGAATTTCAATGAGGATCAAATCTCACTTTACATGGTTTCTCCTTTTTGCCTCTTACTTACTATGTGATTAACCATTGAGATTAACAGGCCCATTCACACATAACAATTAGTGCGATTTTTAAATTTCACTGTTTTCTGTAGGTGTGAACACCCCTATTGTAACTTCTTTCACACCAAAATGGCATGACCATGCACCGGGACTATGCATTATTTAAACTATGGTCACATCCCACCCCCCCCCCCCCCCCCGACAGCCGGGCGGCGAGTTTTTAGCCAATTTTGCCCGGGCACCGCTTGTTTTTTTTATAGGGCATCGCTCGGTCGCCGCTGAAGTTTTAGGGCGGAGTTAAAATTCGGCGGCGCCTGCTCACTTTTCACTTGCCGCCCAAAATACGCTCGGTGCCCGGTCGGTCGCCGCCCGGGCACCGACCTAATCGAGCGTTCGCCGTCGAGCGACTTAGGTCAAAAATCGAAGCCGCTAGGTTAAAGACTGTTGAACGGTCGCCGCCCGGTCACTGGGCAGCGAGTTCAAAATCGCTCGGCAGGCTTGACCTAGCGGCTTCGATTTTTGACCTAAATCGCTCGACGGCGAACGCTCCATTAGGTCGGTGCCCGGGCGGCGAACGCCCGGGCATCGAGCATATTTTGGTGTCCCGCCGATCACCGACCGGCCGCCAGGCAATTTCTTTAAAATAAGCCGGTGGCCGGTTGGAGACCGCTCGAGAATCGATGGGTTATTAGTCGGTCACTGCCGGGACGCCGCCGGAGAAGCTTCCCGCTTTCGCCCAGTTTTGATCTAAATTAGACCACCGAACGACGGGAAATCGACAGGGCTCTACAGCCTGCTCAAATTCTCCAATAATTGTTGGGCGATGCGTAAATTCCAGCGGGGACCGAGCAGGCTACAAATCGGTCATTTGCCGCTCTGAGTTGTGACCATAGCTTTACTCAAAGTTCTCTAATAAAAGTGCTTATGTAATTGTATCTTCTCTTTTTACGTTTTGTGCGACTGCAGGTCAATAATGCAGGAGTGCTTACAGCAGGTTCAGTAGAGACCGTTTCTTTAGAATCTTTTGATAAAATCTTTGCCGTGAATGTGAGAGCACCCCTCCAGCTCACCCAGCTCCTAGCGCCACAGCTGATCAAAACTAAAGGTAAGTGTACAGACACCATATAATTACATGCATTTTTACATGTGTTATTATCCCAGAAATATAAATGAAAAAACAAATTGAAATTTGAGGGAACTTACTTTAGAATATTCCAAGCTAAAATACTTCAAAAGTATAAAAACATGCAGTGTCCATGTTAATAACAGTACACAATTGAATTCGAATATTCAATATATCAAAAATATACAAAATACTTAGACTACTTAGGAATTCACGGAATATGGAAATCAATTCGGATTTATTATAATATAAAACTAGGAATTCACATGTACTTTGAACAAATCCAATGACCCCATGATGAAACCATCTTTGAGGCTTCTATAATCTTTCTTAAAAGGATGAACAACGACTTGAAGAGCCCGGCGCACCTACCATGACGATTCTGATGACGAGTACTTTCCCCCTTTCTCCTCCTCCTTCTTCTTCTTTTTCTTCTTTCCCTTCTTCATTTTCAGTCTTCTTTTTCTTATAACTTTCAAATGACGTTGCAGCTACAAATGTAGCTATCACTAAGATGAACTCGTGATCTGGCTTGCAAGTGGTGAAAAGAGGGTTATAAAGAATGCAAACTTAATGAGATATTACTTATGTAGCATGATATTTTCTAAAGAGTAGACAAGAGGGCTCTTCCAAAAAGAATTATGTTTCAGTGTCCAGGCAATCTTTCGTCAATCTTTGGCACCAACTACTGCTTTTTAATTTTTTGTCAATTTTTATTTTACTTTGTGGTGCTTAATGAAGTTGACTCTGCTCTGTATTGGATACACGTACAATAAGAGTGCAATAATGATTTTAATCTTGTGCATGCACTCTTGGGTGCACACAACCAATTCATGTTATCGACATTTAAATAGGTCAGTACTCTATTTCCTTTATTGACAGGGACTGTGGTAAATGTATCAAGTGTGGTGGGCAAGGTATCGGTAAGTACATAAAACTAACTTCACGTCATGAGAAAATCTAAAACAGGGTCACATGAACAAATTCACGCACTTCGATTGGCATGATGCCTTGCTTTCAAAACGATACTGACGTTAAATGCCGTCATGAAAACAATTTCCACCGATTCCAATCTCTCATCTCCTCATTGTGTTGGAAATACCCAAGGTTGCAATGTCTTTGAAAATAAGATTATTCACTCTCTTTCCTTCTTTATCTTTATATATATACCTCTTTCTATCACACACAAACATGCACACACACGTAAACCCTCACCCACCCAATCATGCACCCACACTTATGCCTTCCTGTTTTTTTTTAATTACTAGATGCCCGACTTCTTAATCTATAGTATGTCTAAGACAGCGTTGGATCATATGACAAGGTCTATAGCTGAAGGTACGTCTGATATTGTTTTTTTTTCACGTTGGGCTTCATGATTGTATATGTGTTTTATATTCATATACACCCTCAAGATTTTTCTTTCTATCTTTGTATGTGTTTATGGCATTCGTATGTTCAAATGTATTTTTAGTGGAATTACGGAATTAAGAAATAAATAAATATGAATTTTAAAAATGTTTGACAGTCAGTTGACTCACATGGGTTTCCATTCTTTCCTAAATATCCAAGACGAATAGGCCACATTTTGCTTAATCGTCATTTACAATACGCTTTTTATGCAATGATTGTTTCTGAAAATCTTTGATTATCTTTTCCAACATTTCACCAAATATGGCTTCTTCTAATGTTTTCAATTACCTGTGGAACGTCAAGTGAGAGGTTGCCCCCATTATCCAAATACCGCACTTCTCTCATGAACTGAATCGATTCCGGAACCACGTAACACGATGATTTCTTTTTTGGCATAGAGTAACGGCCATAATTAATTAATTGTATTAAAAACGATAACTTCGTTTTCAATATCCTGATTATATTGGTCACTTGGTCTTTATAAGATGATGACGTGGATCTTAATCAAATGATTGATTGAAACGCACAGGTGATCAGGCATTTATTTTGCCTAACGCGTAATTCGGATAATGACCGGTCATTATACAATTCTAAATAACCGGTAAAATCATGTTATAAAACATAATTGTATAAAACAAATAAAACATAATCTTTAAAAAAAAATACACATCATTTTGTTCGGGCATTAGTAAATTTACTAATGCCCTCACTGATGTGCATTGTTTGTATATTAAACAATTTCAGTGTAATAATCACCTCACCCCGGCTAAAAAAATGAAAGTTGTAATCAAATTCCTGTTACAGGTACATGCAACTATTGAACTTTTTCAGTTAACATAACTTTTTGTCATTATTTTGGTTTAATTGATAGAACTAGCGCCCCATGGAGTTCGGGTCAACGCAGTGAAGTGAGTTGCAGAAAAGTTTCGATTTTGTAATGGGCACTGATAAGCTAATTAGAACATTGCCCATGAGATACATGATCTTTAATACTCATCATTAATGTTTTATACCAGTGAAAAAATGGATTTGGGGAAAAACATTTTTCGGCCGGGTTTCTTTTTTATTCGTTCATCACCTTCTAAATTGTTTGATCATACCGTGTTTCACTCTTGTTTTTATTGTGTGCTTAAACGGGTGACTTCTTTAGAGATTAATCTAAAGTGAAAATGTCAAAAGAAATTTGAAAAATTCCCAAGAAAAAATCTCATGTGCTACAAACATGACTTTTAAATGTGGATGGCGGAATGGGAAGGGAACATTCAATCTGATTCGAAACCATTTTCAGTGGGATGCAAAAAGTGACCAAAATGCTCGACGTTTAACTGTCATTCCTGTGTGTCAAGCCTTTTTGAAAAAGGGGATGCTGTAGATCACCTTTGCCCCTCTTCGAAGTTTAGCGGGTCCTGATTCTTACGATTACATATAAGACAAATAATCATCTGATCTCTGCTACTCCGTATTATATAACTTTATCAGGCATGAGTCAGATGATAATTCCAGAGGCTACATACTACGACAGAACACGTCTGCGCTTCGATCAATTATCAATGTATAAATAGTTGCATATTTGTTTTCTATTTAAAACTTCATATCAATGATAACTAAAGACTGTTTTTGAGAATATAGTTGCATCAATGTTTCGTTAAAATGCATTGCTTCCTGACGTACTCTACTATAGATATGTTGCCATTTTATATTAGATTAGATGTGTCGTTTTTAATTCGCATTTTGTAATATCTTAAAATGAAATTAAGTTACTATTTTATGTTCATTGGTCAAAATTGGTTTCTTTGTCTGTGTAGCCCTGGTGCTATTGTGACCCCTATCATCAAAAGATCATTCGGGATGACTGATGAGGAAACAGCCCAGGTAAAGCGAGGTCACTTTATGTGATATGCTAGGTTTTTAGGTTAATACTTCGAGGCGGCCTTGTGATGAGATAGATAGATTTGGAATTTTACATCAAGCATTATTCCGTCCTGGATTTTTGATCGGAGTGTACCAATGTCCGGTAGAAAAAATGTTTCTTTGAACGATTTGTTGACCATGTCAAAACTGCAAGGAACTGTGTCCGACGTGACACCGGTAAAGCAAATATAATAATAATAATAGTCACACATTTTTGTATAGCGCTTAATACTACGTTTCTAAGCGCTCTATATTATTATTACCCCATTCATTGCATTCAAATGCTAATTCGCACGTGATAGTACACACACTCTGCTCCCTGGGGAACATTCCGGCAAAGCGCCATTTTACATGCGAACACATGCCAATCCAACGTACGTATCAACGTTCGCATCCTACCGGGTACCCTTTAGCACCTGTTTGAAGAGTGGCAAATGTAGATTAAGTTCAAGTTCAAGTTCAAGTTCAAATAAGGTTTTATTCATTACTTGTCAACAAGTCCGAAGACTAAAAATGCAAGTTTACATCGATATAAAAAGCATTCAAAACATAAAGATAACATAGCAAATGAGGACAAATATATAACAATGAATACATTTTAAATCAAAACATTAAAGTAGTAACAAGAAAACAAAACAACAACAAAAAGATTTTTTTTTTAAAATAATAAAATAAAAAAGATACAAAATACCGCTAAATACAAGATATTCCTTTGGTAATTTCTTACCAAAGGACGTAAGTGCCCCGGTGGGACTCGAATCGCGAACCATGTGATTTACAGTCCTTTGGAATATCCGCTAGACTACGACATCTCTATATATCTTGCGGCGGGTCTAGGCGGATTTCGTACTGTTACATGAATATCTTGATTTGCCATTAAAGGTAATACAAAGTTTTGGTATGGGGTCATGAATTTGGTTCAAATGAACATATTGGAAGCATATGCGATCCTACAATATTCATTGATCGTTGTCGCGATTGAAATCGAGTCTAAAGTTATGGAATTGTAATTAATAAACTCTTTTTGTTGTATAGCTCCCTCTCAGTGTCAAGATATTAATTAAGCTACAAACTAGGCGTTGTGGCGTGCGCCTGTAATCCAGCTAACAGTGGAAGTTACAAACTGATTCAGCCGAGGACGCAGGTTCGAAACTGAGTCACGTCTTTCGGATGGTGACGTTAAAGGTCGGTCCCCAGACGTAAATAATCATATCTGATTGATACACGTCTGTAAAAAACCAAATACACACACACACACTATAAAACAATGTTCCTTGACTAAAATCGACCAATTAGCTATTCCCGTTTGGAAATTATATATCACAACAACATATTCTGAGATTTTCATGGTCGCAGCTGCAATTGTACGGCCGTATAGGCGCTATTTGAAATTTTTATATTCAATTTCTCTCGAAAGCAGAAGTGTTTTAGGGGCTAAATTTTGTTTTGCTTTTAATACATCCACAGGGGCATCCAAATATATTAAATTTGTAAAGAATCACTATACACCCAATTTTCGAAATTTTCCAAAACTTTGTATTACCTTTAAGCATTGTCCAAGGAATTCACTTATATGGTGGTTGTACGCTTTCATCAACTAAATCCAAACCCTACCTATCCATTTACCTATATTTTAATGTGTTGGTACTTTTCTCATTAAATGATTTCTTATCTTTATCCAACAATCATTTTTCTGAAATTTCACGAATTCGTCGTTCATTGTTGTTGTTTGTCTGTTGGTAGCATGATTGTTTGTCTCGGTTGTTGATCGATTAACATTGAGGTACATATATTTTCTCTTTTTTTTGTTTTGTTACAGTTTTTTGAGAAAATGAAGAGGAATCATGCCATGCGAAGGACTGGTACCGTAGATGAAGTATCCCGGACGATAGCATTCATGGCATCCAACGACTCGTCTTTCACCACGGGGGAAACCGTTGGTATTGATGGAGGGTGCCATCTTTTGGTTACAAAAGTTCCCATATAGGCAATTTTCACTACAAATCAAACCACTCAGCTCGGACACTTCCCCCTAGACAATAGCCCCCCTAAAAATTACTACCTCAGCGCAATTACCTCTTAGGAAAAGAAACCTCGGGGACAATTACCACCAGGAAAATTACCCCAAGGACAATTTCCCTGAGCATTCGCCTCTAAAAAATTTCCGCCTTAAGAAGGTGACCGCTAGGACATTTAGCCCCTAGGACAATACCCCCCTCCCCTTTCGTCAAGACAACTACTACCCTTTTAAGCAAAGAACTCCGATGACAATTTACCCTCTGGAAATAATTACCACCTAGCATAGTTGCTCTCGGACTCATATCATCCAGAAAATTACAATCGGGCCAATAATACCTTCTAGAATTTATGCCCCGGATCGATAACCACCCATTGTCTTGGGTGATAAATAATTACCCCTATTGACGGACATCATAAATGCATATGGAAATGTGCATGATTGCCATCCAACCGGCTTGCACTGTTCTTATATAATATATGATTATGTTCTTTTACATAATGATGATATATTACCTGTCTCTTGTTGCTACAATTGTGATTCTTTATCTTTCATCAATATCACCATGGACCTACTGCTATCACTGAATTGTTTTCGACGTGCATGAATGTAAAGATGATGGTTTAACTTTGTAATATCTCAGTTTTATATGGAAACTCTGTATTTTTGTTCTAGTCAGATAATCGTATAATTGTCTTTGTTTGTATAATGGGCCCTTATCCATGTTTCTTCTCCAAAATCAAAGTTTCCTTCACGTAATGTATATTTTTATTGTCATGCTGCAGAATGTTTTGTGGTATAATAATTCATTTTGAAACTAAAAAAATAGCCTTCAACATAAATATATGGTATGTATGGTACCGTGTTAACAAAAGAAAAACTAATCCGCTTTCTGGTACATTAATCTCATTTGGTTTTGTCACTCCAGAGCATCGTTTTTCAACCCGGAAAAAGAGAAGTTTAGTTAAATCAAGACATTATTGTTGAATGAGGTTGATTTCGTGAAAGAAACAATTCGGAAACTGCTATAGTATAATGTAATTTCGTAAGGAAATAGCATTTTAAAGATAATAAAGTATTTTTGTGGGAATTAGAGAGGAGAGAGAGAGAGACGGTGTTACATTGTGCACCATTATTGGAGCTGTGGACTTCTTAGGAACACGAATTTTTGAAAAATGTTGAGTAAAAAGGACAGGAAGAAGGGAAGAAATAGAGAGTGTATACAGACACGGAGTCGAGCTGAAGATCTAGCCGAACTCTCAGGCGACGAAACTCACGATAGAGACGGTCAAGTCGACGCCAGTCCAGATGGTCAGTCTGCTGGTCACTCAGCTGGTCACTCACCCGTGAAAGAACAATGCGTGAGTAGTGAACTAAAAGACGTGATATGTAAGGAAATCACAAAGGTACTATTGTCAGGCCCTGTGATTGATCAGATCGTTGACTCTGTATATGAAACTGTGTGTAAGAGACTCGAAGAAAAAATCTCACGAAATGTGCATGATGGACTGCTACTTGAACTTGAAAGCAAAAAGAGAGAGGTGAGAGACGTGAAAGACAAAATGGTGAAACTCGAACAATGCCTTGACAGGGAAAAGACCGCAACTGAATCCCTTGAACAATATACTAGACGCAACTCGTTACGGATATACGGAATACCAGAATCTCAAAACGAAAATACTGATAAAATTGCCCTCAATTTTTTCAAAGATAAGTTGGATCTTGACCTCATGCCTACAGAACTGGACAGAAGTCATCGAGTGACACCTCGCCCACGACCAGAAAATGGCCAATCCCGTGGCTCAGAAAATCGTCCGAGAGCTGTGATAGTGAAGTTTGTCCGCTACAACATGAGGATGTTGGTCTACCAAGCCAAGTCGAAACTTCGAGGATCCAAAATATACATCAAAGTGGATCTAACTTCATCAAGACAGGAGATAGTCGGTGCCTGTATCAACAAAATCAAGGAGAAGCGTGCAAAACGTGTCTGGACACAGGACGGCCGAGTTCTTGTCTTGTCAACTAACGACAAGGTAATCCCCAGCAGAGATCTCCGTCATGTTGAATCTTTGTAAGAGCTACAGTTTAGTTTATTTCTTCATACCATAATTAATGATGGCCAGTCGTGCTAACATCAGACAAAGTAAAGACGATATACCTAATACAAGAGAATCACCACATATCGTAAATGACTCACCTGGTACTCGTCATTTTATTGAACTCGATGATACAGGAGAAAAGTCGATTATTGAAGAACAATTCCTGACACTTAATAATTGTAACGGTTTTAAAATAGCCCATTTGAATTGTGCGTCTTTAACTAAAAACATTGATGAAATCCGCATTTCATTGAAACGAACCAATATAGATGTATTAACCTTAAGTGAAACTCACCTTTCTGATTTCTTTGATGATTCAGAAATTTCTTGTGATGGATATAATATTGAACGAAAAGATAGAAACAGAGCAGGAGGAGGTGTTGCTACTTATGTAAGAGAAGACATTAATTACATTGCTAGGTCTGATTTTTCTGTTGAAAATTTGGAAACAGTCGTTATAGAGATCAAACGACCATACTCTCGCCCTGTTATTATTGTTAACTGGTACAGACCGCCAAACTCAAATCTTGCCATTCTTCAATCATTTGAGACGTTGTTAGAGAAAATTGATGTATTGAACAGTGAATGTATTATTCTGGGTGACATGAATTGTGATCTTTTGAAAACAGATAAAGCTCCTTATACGAAACATTAGTGTCAAATAATGGAAAGGTATAATTTCAATCAGTGTATTACTTCCCCGACTAGAGTTACACATAATACTTCGTCAATTATTGATTTGATATGGACAAATGAACGTGATAAAATTGGACAAGCAAGTGTTATTGAAATATCACTCAGTGATCACTATCTTGTTTATTGTACATTGGGGAAAACAAAAGGGTGTAAACAAAATGAACATAGGCACAAAGTAGGGAGAAACATGAAAAAGGTTGATGTTGAAAAATTAAAGGAAGACGTTGCTGCTTTATCGTGGGAAGTAATACAAAACATGAACAGTGTAATAGAGGCATATGATTGTTTTGAAAAGACACTTTTAAGTATACTTGACAAACACGCACCCGTGCGCAAAAAGAGAATTAAGAAAAAAGAGTCTCCTTGGATTAATAACGATGTATTATTATTGATAAGACAAAGAAATGATCAAAAGAAAAAAGCGAAACAAACTGGTGATTCTGAGGATTGGAAAAGATATAGAGAATTACGAAATAAGGTTACTGCATGTATCCGTCAAGCAAAGAAAAATGACATCACTCGTAGTATCAATGAAAGTAATGGTAAATCAGGAGATATATGGAAATCGTTGAAATGCTTAATGCCACAAAAACATAATTCTGTGAAAATATCCCACATTGAAATAGAAAATAATATGATTGATGATAAAATAGAAATTGCTGATTGTTTTAATTGTCATTTTATAAATATTGGGCAAACAGTTCAGGAAAGTATTGTGACCCTTGATGATCATGGTCAAAACGATTCAAATCCTGTTATGCATACTGTTGTACCTGGAGATGGATTCCATTTTGATCTAGTTAATGAAGAACAAGTTTTAAATGTTATTAAGAATTTAAAAGATAAGAAGGCCTGTGGTCCAGAAAATGTACCAGCTGAATTTTGGAAAATTGTAATGACTTATATTCTCAAGCCTTTAACATATATCATAAATTTGTCTTTTGAGCAAGGTGTTGTTCCTCTACAATGGAAAATGTCTCGTGTTACTCCAGTTTTTAAATCGGGAAAAAAGTCTGATATGAACAATTATAGACCAATATCAATTCTTCCGGCGATAGCTAAAATTGTTGAAAAATTGGTATTTGATCAACTTTACGGTTATATGGATCAGAACGGAATTATAAGTTGCAATCAGTCAGGTTTTCGCCCGAAACACTCTACAATGACATCTCTATTGAACGTCACGGAAGACTGGCTTGATAGTTTAGATAAAGGTAATCTTGTAGGCGTGGTGACCCTTGACTTAAAAAAGGCGTTTGATACAGTAGACCACTCAATTCTTTTAAATAAGCTACGGCTTATTGGCTTGAATGTAATGTCATTACAGTGGTTTAGTAGCTACTTAGCCAATCGCATGCAATACACTTGTGTAAATGGGGTTCATTCCAATTCACAAAAGATGCAATGTGGAATACCGCAGGGGTCAAATATTGGCCCATTGTTATTTATCCTATTTATTAATGATATGCCTTTATGTCTGAAAACATGTAAAATATCTTTATATGCTGATGATACGTGTCTATATAACGCTAGTGCAAATCATCAAACTCTTACCGAATCATTAAATGCAGACTTATTACTTATTGATATTTGGTTAAAAAGGAACAGACTTGCTTTAAATGTACCAAAATGTGAATTACTTTTTATCGGAACGAAGAAACGGCTAAAAAATATTATAGTGCCAGATGTTTACATACAAAATGTTCCTCTCAAACGTGTAACCCACTGTAAGTATCTTGGAATAGTTATTGATGAACATTTGGATTGGGGTAAACATATTGAATATTTAAGTAAGAAGGTATTAAAAGATATATATTTGTTAAAAAGAATTAGACCATATGTTACAGAGCAAACTGCACTAATATTTTATAAATCAGTAATACAATGTAAGTTTGATTACTGTAGTGCAATTTGGGGGAATACCGGAAAAGGAAATTTAGACAGTTTGCAAAAGCTACAGAATAGGACATTCCGGGTGGTACTTCAAGTTGAATGGAGGTTCCCAAGCCGAGATTTATTTCTTTGTCTGAAAATAGAAAATCTATCAAAACGGAGAGATGAACATGTTCTATGTATTATGTATAAAATAGTGCATGGAATGATATATGGTGGGTTTAGAAAGTACTTTGTTATTAAAGAATATCATTATAGCTTGAGAAATGCTCATAAAACCTTAGAACTGCCAAAACCACATACGAATTTTAAGAAAAGGAGCTTATGTTATTAAATCTTGGAATCAGCTACCTATGAACGTAAAAAATATGTCTTTCTCTGTATTTAAATCAAGGTAATATAAATATTAATTTTATATTTTGTTCACTTAAATATATATTTATAAAACTATAAAATCTAAAATATACGCTGTTTGGAAAGAATAACTGCCGACGGGGGGGGGGGGGCTGGGTAGTAGTATCTTGGTTTGTAAATTTTCATTTTTCTTTGTATACTTATGTTCTTGTTTTTGTTTTTTATTTTTGTTTTTTTAATATTTCATATGTTATGATAATATGTGTTATCTTATAATTGTACATGTAATTTTTATATTGCGCACGGACCAACAGAAGAACAGCCTTTGGCTGAAGTTGGTGCCGTGCAAAAATGAAATAAACTGAACTGAACTGAACTAAGATAAACAGACAATAATGTGAGATAGAAGGAGGAAGTGGTAAGAGAGGAAGAGAGACTCGGAACACGCCTACGTACCTCCCTTCCACACACATACCCTGTTGCTCATAAAGTTGAAATATTATTTTTTTACCCCAATTTATGGAATTATTTTGACAATGATGTATTCCTAATAGATCTAGATAATAGTATACATTGTCAGATTTTATTGAATAATAATTTACCAGCGTTTGTTTTGCGTGACTGCTAAAGCATGTGTATGCTACTATGTTCATCAACTAGTTGACCTACGCCCTTAAGTAAACAATGACAGTAATGAGGATTAATGCACCACAAAAGGGCACTAATATAGCACGTCGACACGGTTTTGATCCTTGGGCCTCACAGATTCGAGGCTATTTCTTTGCCACTGAACCGTGACTGTAAACAGCGGGGGCTAGAGTAGGGCCGGGGCAGTTCCCACAAATAAAAAACGAACAAAGAAAGTGCAATAAATTATCTATAATTCATTGCATTTCCCCCCCCCCCCGGTCCCCAACATATAAAAATCCTC